AGATTTTTTATATTTAAAATGAGATGTTTATCGTGTATTTGATTGTGTTTATCTGCAGTTAGTTACACGAATTCAGTTATGGGATGAAATCAGATAGGGATGAAATTGTTTAGGGATGAACGGGTTTAAGAGTTTAAGAGTTTTTAAGAGTTTTAGCCAAATGCTTTATAATATAGTATAGATATATATGTCGTTTTCTAGTTGGATGACATTTTTAAAACTTTTTATAACTTTCAAGGATATACTTGTATATATTATCTTTTTCTCGAAACAAAAAGGTTTCTAATTTTTTATAAGATCCCAAATCAGTTTAGAGTAAAAATTAAAGTTGCCTTATAAAAGACTGAATACCTCATTTACTAAAAACGTTTTAAAGTTATAAATCCAGATATAAACAAAATAGACAATATTTAATACAGTTGGTATGAGATATTGCAGATAAAATTATTGTAAAAGCTCTCTCAATTGTTTTTTTTTCATATTGTGTGCATTTCTTTGTCTTTAATGGTGAACAATATACTCCCTCGTCTTTCTAAATTATTTAATGCAACTTTTCTTTTTAGTTTTGGTCTCTTCCAATTGTTTTTATCATAAAATTAGATTAACGGGACCGTCAGCTGTTTAAAATATGACATATTGATTAATAAAAACAATTATCAGATCAAGTCATATGACTCTTTCGTTATGTTGTTTCGTATGCTGGCTTCAAATTTAGACTGGGTTCAAGAAATGAAAAACAGTTAGTATATGGATATATAATTTGTAGGGTTAGGTTCATGTGATACCAGCTTGTTTTTGTGAGATCATTTTTTTACACTTGAAACTTCACAGCAAAATGCTTTGAAGGTAAAAAAAGGTTGAACATTCACAGCAAAAACACTGTGAAGGTTGCCTTCACAATGTTTTGCTGTGAAGTTTCAAGTGTAAAAAAATGGTCTCACGGGTCTTACGAAAACAAACAGGTTTCACATGATCCCAGGTCATAATTTGTAACCAATATTTGCTTGATCAAGTTAAATATATTGAGTTTGATTGGTACACAAAATGAAAGATTGGAGGAGTAAACCTCATATATGTATGTATGTATGTATGTATGTATGTATGTATGTATGTATGTATGTATGTATGTATGTATGTATGTATGTATGTATGTACATGTGTCTAATCAAATGAGAAATAATTAGTTTGTGGTAACCGTGATGTCCAATCTCAACCACAAATTAATATATAATTTAGAAAATTTATAATTTTGGTAATTTTGAATTAAAATTTGAATGCAAGAACATTTTAAGTATTTTAAAACTCTCCTCTCTCCGGCCGGCCTCCGGCCTTCGGCCACCGTCCTCCTGTGATACCACAGTGGTATCATAATGCATCATATATGTGTTTGGGTATCACACTGAGGTCGTTTGTGTAGTCGATCAGAGATGTAACACAGTGATATCACAATGCATCTTATATGTGCTTGAGTATCACGCTGTGTCTTTTGTTTAACATAATCAATATTTTTAGGTATCACAGTGGTATTACCGGAGGATAGAGGATGGGGGACGAAGAGAGGAGAGAGAAGGGAAAATACCTAAAATAACGTTGCATTAAAATTTTAATCCAAAATTACTAAAGTTATAAATTTCCTAATTTATCTATTGATTTGTAGTTGAGATTGGATCTCATGGTTACCACAAACTAGTCAGTTCTTCATTGAATAGAACCCTATATATATATATATATATATATATACACATGTGTGTGTGTGTGCACGTGTCTTATAAATCAAGAAAACATGAATATGAAGATCAAATTAGTTGTTATTTCTAAGCGTTTCTTTGAATGTTGATAAACAATTATCATCAGAATTAGTAGCAAGGTAATTTTGACCAATTTATGCGGAAATGAATCAACGTCGGTTTATTTATATTTGGTCAAATGAGTAACATTGAAAATTTTAACTAATATAGAAACAGATCAAATGATTTTAAAGCTAATAATAAAACCTGTAAATACTTTACTAAAAAAACTGCATCATTATTTCACCAACTGTGTCTCTAATTATATCCAAGTATATCGATTAAAACACGGATGTAAAAGATATATTTCCTTATGCATTCCCCACTTGTCCGACTACTGTTGAGCAGTTTCTGGAGACCATCCACATGAAGGGACCCACTTGGTTTACTTGTACCAGTAACTGGTTTATGGGTGAGTGTTCTGATAGTAGTCGATCTGGGCTTGAATCTACGAGCCTATGACCAGGGACAAATGCATAACTTTTTTTTCCCTTCCAAACGGTAACATTATTTGACTAAGAAAATGACACTAACAAAATTCGAACTTAGAGTCTGAGGTGGAATAAAAGCCTTGCAAACCAACTGTACCAAATAAAACTTGTTCTCATTGTAGTTTCAAAATACATACGCTTACACAACAAATTAATATGGTTGTACATTTCACAAACCTATTTTTTTTTACCCTTCGATGAAAGAATAATATTGAGGCACGTGTCATCGTATTATCCAGTATAGGTCCGTCCCTGCCTATGACTTCGTTTCTCACAATCTTTGCACAACGAAAAATCTTGAATCTAAGACTCTCCACACCAAAAATATTCTCCATATAAAACTTTATCAATTTTAACCTGTTATTCAACCGATACGACATGTTTAGTTTGTCGTCTGTATAAATCAGTTAAAGGAACCGATAAAGTTGTAAAGTAATTTTTTAGTTAGGGACTGAAAAGGTAAAAGTTATTAGTTGAAGGGGGAAAACTGATAACCATGAAATAGTCTTGGGACTATTTATGCCGTTTAAATAAATAACTGCGCCGCAAGGGAGCGGTTCATCGCAGTGTGACGGGGAATTGCGAGAGAGGCGCGGCGGAGCTCGTTGGGAAGAATCGTCAATTCCGCCGTCTCCGAGATGTCTCTGTTGAAGAGAGAAGACTGTAAACGTACCAAACATGATTCTGCTTTCTCCGATTGGAAGGTAATTGTCTCTTTCTATCTGTTTCCATGTGTATAATTTGCTATTAAAGTAGATCTGAATTGCCAGGAACAATTATGAAACTATGTTACTTCAGATTTCAATTTTGAGTTATCGATCAATGAAGAGTGTTCTCACCTTTATTAAAGTTAATGCTTCCATCACTCTCTGTATGTGTCTGAAACTTTGTTGATTTTGGATATGAAGAACAGTGACACAGTGATCTGAGTATTCTACATTTGATTGCTATAATTCGTGATCTCAAAATGTTAACACATTATTTTAATCATCTTATTTATGATCAAATTACGTATCGACACTGACGTGCTAAGCTAGAAAATTTGGACAATTGACGGGTCATTCAGCAGAAAGATACGCCAAATTAGAACTCCAGTTTCATGCTCAGGACTAGAAATTTTTCAAAATCACTTATGAGTTGAATTAGAAGCAAAAAACTTCCAGGTTTTCATTTTAGGACTCGTGTAGTTTAAAAATTGAAATGATTTTGCTTCGATTCTGTTCCCAAGTACACTCCAAGCAATTGGACAGAAGTTCAGATAGATACTATAATATATACGGTGATATTTGGAGCGTGAAATCTGAATTTGAACTTCCAGTTTTAGTTTTTTTTCTCGTTTAAATCAAGACTGATTTACTTCATTTCTCCATCGCTTTCTATTGTGAGATTATGTACCCCCTCCAACGGAGGTTGGACGAGCAAAGATGTGCCGGAATGTCGAGAGGGGGTTAGGCGAGTAAAGATGTCCTAGAGTGTCAAGTCCCAGGCAAATGTGTCCAGATGGTAGACCTTCACTTTGATACCATGTGAGAACATGTGGAACCCATATTTACTTTCCGAAAGATTCCTTGAGGAGAGAATAGAGGTTCCAACGTGTAAAAAGGAGAACTTGTCCGAATCTAGCCGATATGGAAGTTGGGACTCTTAACCCTCCTAATGTTGCTGCATAAAATTGACCATATCTATGTATGTTAATTTCAGATCCTTATTGGGCCAAGCAACTGGGAGGATTATTTATTGAACAAGGAAGGTGCAGAGAGATACAGGACTCAAAATCTTCCAAATTGTTCTTCTTGTCCAGGGGTTTATGAGCTCGGAATAGCTGTTTCGCTCCCACGAACAGAGGAGAAGAGTAGTAGCAGACTTGGCTCGAAAAGCATAATTCCTGTTTATGTTGGACAAGCTGACAATGTTAGGACTAGACTTCAACGGTATGGTCGTGACGGTGCTCATTTGGAGAATGGTTGGTTTAATGGAGAGCAAGATGCCCATAGAGTACAAGGATTGTTCTCCGGCATATTCTCACAAGGGTTTGCCATTGCGTATAGATGGGTTCCGGTAAGTAACATCTTTGTGAATTGTGATCTTCAACTTCTTTTCTCTTATTGCTTGATGGAGACCATTGGTCAACAGATGAGTTTCTAATAACATCATAATTTTAACAAATTGAAAAAAACTTCTTCCCACAAATCTTTAATGAAAAAAACAAGTTTTGTTAATTGGGGGCAAACTCCGCTAGGAAACTAAAATTGATTAGGAACCTGGATGTAACACCCCTAAAAATATGAGGCAAAAAGGACTGAAATATGAAACGAAAAAATCGGAATTTTATAAAAAGAATTCACCCAATAGAAGGGGTAATAGAAAAGCGTTTACAAACAGCTACCGAGACGATAATTATCAACCTACTAATCTAGATTACTCTATATTTAGATTAAAGGCGTTATTTCTTTATATCTCCAAAAATATCGTATCACTAAAACAAACGCGACGCTCTAAAGTAATAAAGGCTTAATCTGCAAAAGAGTCTTTCACGAACCAACGCTCCTCTCATCCCTTTAGAGTCCCACCGCTAAAGGAACCTAAAAGTAAATATAACACGAAAGAGAGAGGGTTAGGYTTACGCCTAGTGAGTCCAAACAAAAGAGTTGAAGTAAACATAAAGGAACATATATAAATATACACAAGTAAATAGCTGACGTAACTTTAAACAGGAAAAGAGACAATAAGACCTGAATAACTCGAAGTGGAACAATAAAACATCCGAAGATGACGGGGGAGGCCCGATTTACCGTTGATTATGACAGACACAAAGTAAATCATAAATCAACGTTATAGAGCATCACTTATAGGTTTAAAACCATCGACATCAACCTAATCCAGTTATTTAGTCATTCGTGATCATAAGCTCTTTACCTCGGTAATTACATAATAATCACAATGCCTATTACCGAGTGGAAGTG